AAGGGGATATGTCTTTCTAAGGATGGTATGTTTCCTACAGAAGACCGTTTACGATCTATTTCCTTGCTGCCTAATCTTGGTAAGTGGTTTGAACGCATAATGGCGGAGAGAATTGAAAGTTGGTGTAAGTCTAAGGGCATACAAACCGATGAACAATCAGGTTTCATTGCCCAAAGACGATTACAGACTCGAATTCTCTCAATCATTGAAGACATTAGATTGACGGTGACGGCTTGCAATAGGCCGGCACTTGCAATTTTTGTTGACTTTCAAACCGCTTTTGATAGGATGTGGTACCCAGCTCTTATGAAAACGTTGAAAGAGTTGGGAATGCCGCTTGACATGCGCAGATGGATATATGAATGGTTGAAAGACCGCTCTATGTACATCTGCCATGGCGAGGCTCGCTCTCGAACTTTCAATATTTTTGTAGGAGCACCTCAAGGATCTGTACTAGCAGCATTACTCTTTAGACTGCACATTCACTTTCTTCCCAGTTGCTTTGCTCGGATTGCTTCTCACCTTTACGCTGACGATTTAACAATGCTGCTTTTTGGAGCTATAGAAAAACGACTTTCAGAAAATATAACATTTTTGGAAAAACAGGCAAAACCAGCTCTACTCGCATTAGAAAAATTTTCTGAAAATCATATTCTAAACTTACCAGTAAACATCCAGAAAACAAAAGCTATGTTATGACATAGCGCAGTGGCAGTAAAAAAGCCAAAAATTTTTTATAAAAATGTTTCAATTGAGTACGTCAAAAAGTCTAAATGTCTTGGAGTCGAAATAGGAACTAAGTTGGGCTGGGGTCATCACATAGACAGCAGACTAAAAATGGTGAGAAATTCTTACTGCGGTCTTCGAAAAGCTTTTCACAATATTCCAAAAGACGAAATCAAAATTAGGCGCAAACTTTTTTGCGCTTTTTCATTACCACACTTTGTGTGGCTCTTTTTTTGTTGGTTCTTTTACACTGAAAAACAAAGAGCTATGATTGAACATGTTTTTAATTCTGGTCTCAGAATTGTGTATAGTCTATGGGGTTTTGATGACTGCACCACTTTGGCTTTGACTAGAGAGTATTCAATCCGAGATTTCCTCTTTAAATACTGGGCTAAATTTATAAAACACCTAGAAGAAAGCTCAGAAGCTGTTGCCTAGCAGCAAACATGAACAGCATTTCTTATTTCAACATGTCCAAAAAAAACGTATTACAATTCAATGATTTTTAAAAAGGAAAAGTTTTTTGCCAACAGATTAGCTGAAAGAGCGGTGCATTCTAAAAATGACATTTTCAACTTCATGACGGTACATAAGGATCAGTTTGGAATATATAAGGGATCGTCAGCTTTGATTGAGTACTTTGTCCTAAAATATTTTTCTCCATTACCTCCTTGAAATAATATGTGTGGTGTGAGCGAAAGAGAGTAGTGTGTTGAATGTATCTGTGAATTTTTGACACTGTAAAAATCTAAGAAAAATGTAACTTTCCTGTCTATCTTTTTTCATTTTTTTCCCCTTATATGTGTTAAGTTTTGCAATTGTCAATCTCAAAAAAGAAAATCTATTTTTTTGACTAAATTTTTTCTCAATCTTTTTTTTTCTCTTCACCAATGATATTTTTTTTGTTAACCCTCTTAGGGAACAAATAAAGCACTTTTTCATATCAAAAAAAAAATATCAAGACTATTAATAAAACTAATCAAGGCATATACATCGTTGTTTGCGTTATTCGAGTCAAACATTTTTTAAGTTAGAGACAGATTTGTTAGCCCTTGCTTAATCAATGTGGGCTAGTTTTGAGGACCTAATATTATTGGATAGCCAATAATCGTTCTCATTCTATTTCTTTTGACCTATTGAATAAAAAATGTCATAGAACCTTTTGTTATAATCTTGATGTTTTTGCTGAAAAAAGTTGTATGAGCAATTGTCTTTGATAAAGGAAAATATTAAAAATGGTATAGATGATAATTTCATGTAAAAATTTGAGTTTATCACTGTTTCTGCTTGATTTGAACTTTCAGGCGTTTATTTAAAAGAAACTAAACTTAGAATAAATTTTGTTCTATCTGTTATTCGATGGGCGAATGTATTGTCTATATAAAAGAAAAGAACAGATAAAATGTGCGCATGGAAAGGAGAAAAGAGAGAGGAAGAAAAGTGACAGAACAGAAAAACAGCCTAAATTCACTATAAGAAATCGAAGAGACTGTGGCAACACATGAAAAACTCAAGATGTAATTATAAGATTCCCGCTGGCGGATTCGCCTTGAAATTCTGCATATACCACCTTAGTTTCATAAAGTTTGGTCCGGCGCGGAGTTTGCACCTAATTTTCTAATGAGTAGTATATAGAAGCGAAGGTATTGGCTGTATCTTTTGCCTCTTTCTCGACTTTTTAACGGTGAAAAAGAGTTTAACGTCTAAAATAGAACGAAAAGGGCAAAAGGCTTGCTGGCTGAGCAGTCAGAAGTAGAAAAAGCACGTTTTCACTGACATAAGCGCTTCAAACTCTTTTGACAACTCACTTTTTGAGGCAAAAAATCGAGTTTTTAGCTATTTAGTGCTAGCTAGGTTTCTGGGATTGTGCTAAATGTGATATGATTCGATAGATCTCTTCGAGAGCTATCGAATAGTGTATAATATGTGCCCATTTGCATAAGTTTCGGTTCAAATTTTCGAAAACTTTTCTCGGTGAGAAAGGGGAAAACTTCGATATTAAATATTTCAGCCACTGCGCACGTGGTTGTCGGGAAATTTTCACCACACGCCCACTAACTGATGGGGAACAAGATGCACCACTTAGATTTTTGAGAAATGAGTACTATTCATTGTGTTCTGTTGCTAAATGAGTGACAAATACTGAGAATCTGAGTAATACTCACAATGTTTGAGTGAATTTAAGTAGTTATTAAGGTCAGAATGTTTGTTATAATTTATATAGCGGTCAGATAAACTATACTTATCTCGCAGTTATTCGAAAATGTTTGCTAAATTCGTTGAATCTGCTCATGGTAAAAGTAGGCATGCACCAATACCAATCATTATTGAAGATATTGTACAATATTATTGGCTATCCAGTAATATTAGGTCCTAATGTTATTGTATACCCCGTATATTGGGACCAATATTATTGGTCACTCAAAAATATTGCACAGTAATATTGGATTTCACAATACACTAGATTCCAACTTTTTAATTTTAATATCATTTACCTTCTCAAAAACGTGAGGAAGTATATCCCGATCGGGATTAGGCATGTACCGATTAATAATCGATGTTACGGCATTCAGCAAAGCCGTTCCGAATCAATTATAAAAAAAGTACTTATGACTGCCGAATGTTCATTTTGTAGAAAAATGTTTGCTCAACCAAACTGAAGTGCAAAAAGATATTTTAGTGTTATCTGTGACAGAAATATATGCATCCAAAACTGAGCAAAATTGCAAAAAAATAAGCGACTACCGATTATTTTTCTACGATTTTAGTGCGTTTTCGATTTATCATATTTTCTCTATATATAACATTAATATTTTTCTAGCGCAGAAAAATGAACATTCGGCAGTTCTAAGTGCTTTTTTATAACCGATTCGGAACGACTTTTCTGAATGCCCCAATATCCATTATTAATCGCTGCATGCCTAATTGGGTTATATTTTCGTTCAAAACGGGATATAAGGCATGCGTCTGTACTGTAAAAGTAGGCCGAACTCAGGCGACCCAATACCCAATAATATTATGAAAATCCAATATATTGGGGTGACCAATGTTATTGGGTCTCAAAATATTGTATTAGTGCATGCCGAGGTAAAAGTCAACTAAAACATCTTGACCATCGATATTGTTTTAGACGTAAAAGTCAAAATTCGGAATACTGGGTATGTGTACAATGCAAAGTAACAACAACAGCTTATCCAGATTTACCGGTCATTGTACGTGATGATTATACACATTTACCAGATGAATCTTGTGCAAAAAAATTGGAAATTAGAAAATCGTTAAAACGTAAAAGTTAAATCGTCTACTAGTTCCACGTACAATAGAACAATTGCCATTACCGGACACATACTGTAAAACATCAAATAGCGAATCGTTTTTATTGTATGATGTATTACTTGCTGGTACTCGGTCACTCATTTTCTCGTCATACAATGATATCTTTCATCTATCACAACAAGAACATTAGTACGGCGATGGTACATTTTATCCAAGACCTTCAATTTTTTACCAGATGTATTCAGCTCATGCATATTGTGATGGAATATCAACACCATTCATTTTTACATTACTTATGTACGACCGACGCTGTTGCAATGTCGTATATCGATTCATTTTAGTTTGTATACTATTATGATTTTACAACTTTTTTTCAGAGTTACATTTAAATTCTTCAAGTCCTTTTTTTGTTTTGTGTTAGTTTGAATTTTTTCCCTGCCATTAATATGATCTATTGCATAAAATGTAAATTGTGTAATATATAGTTGTTGTGATATTCATTAAAAGTCCTTTTTGAACACTCTCCATATGTTCTTTCTCAACGTAAAGTGGCTCATTTTGTAGAGAATTGTCTGTTCTACAAAAATGCGTCATTTTTTATGTAGACTTGCCAAATTTGGCTGCTTTATGTCTCTTTCTAATGAAAGCTTTGGGTTTTTAAAATTCAACTTATTTCAATTTTTTCACCTTAATTTTTCAGTTCTAGCAGCTGAAAAGTAGCACATTCGACAAAGAATCGAATAGACACGGTTAAAGTGCAAAATAAGTTTTGGCCATATTACGTGTATTCTTGATGCACACGTGGAATGTCTCTTAATATTTTAAGATGCATATGAGTAAATATCTGGTTAAACTGAAATTTTACCCATTTTAATTCAAAATCTCACAGCAGTAATATCGTACTAACAAAAAATACAGTAAAAAGGCTCAAAACAAAATTTTTTTGGAATAAAATGTTTTATCAGAATTAATTTCTTCCTGGATATTGCTTGTAAAAGTTATGTGCATAAATTTTTGTGTATAATTTTAATTTTATCATATAGCTGTTGAAAAAATCTTAAATCGGATGATATTTGTTTTTTTTCATCAACGATTACTATTTCTAACGATATTTTTATTGAAGATATAACTAAGTTAAAATCCAATAATAAATTATATACATTACCACGTTCTAGAGTATTTTCTTCAATTAATAATTTTTGACTACCAATTATAAAAAAATCGTACGCATAACTATTTAAATGGTATGCAACACCAGTATTATCCATACAATCAATATCAACAAATTGAATAACTTTACTCGATAAATCTATATAATAAGCCAGATCCCAAGAATGACTATTAAAATTTTTCATAAAAATTTCATGTGTTAAACCAGATAGACCAACAAATGGTGATATACTTCTATTTTGTTCATGTTCACTATAATGATGATGTAAATAATATTCAATTGTACCATTATCATAGTTATCAACTGTAGAATAAAAAGAAATATTGGAAAAAGGTAATATGTATTCTTCAAGAATAATTTCATGTCGAATAATTTCGCGTACGTCTACAACATTTTCAATATAATATCCATAAACTTGTTTTATAATTTCAGTATATGTATGAATTCGTTGTCGAAATTCTTCCATTACAGGTGGTAAAAATAATTTTGAATTAAACATTTGTTCACGTCGAGATGATTTTAATGTCTGATATTGTTGATCAGATAAATGCCATGGCATTTTTGTAAATAAATATGCGAGTATAACAATAATATCTTTATCGGATTTAATCGAATGAAAGAGTTATGTATCGATTAAGGCCCCCCGCCCCCCTCAGAAATTATCTCGGACACCGTGCATCCGATCTTGACGAAACTTTCTATAAATGTTCGGCACAATTAGTTACGAGAATGAAAAAACTTTTTTGTCTCCAAATCTTACGGTTTAGGAGCTTTCCAGAGATCAAGGTCCAAAAAGGACCCTGAACGGCGTCCCAAGATTTTTTAATATACTTCAAGCTGGAGAGTTCGAGTTTGTTTTATTTTAAACTAGACACCTAACTACATCGACTGACCGGCGTCGATTTTTTAATTAAGCCTTTATTGATTTTCCAGGCAACCAACAACCTCCAAAACCCGAAAAAGCCTTCCGGATTTTCTAAAAATCCTCCGT